CAACATAGTGCCTTCTTTGCCCAGGTGCCCAGCCCCATCAGCAGATGCTGACCCAGAGCCTGGCCCAGCCAGCTGCAAGGGGTGGGGGTGGAGGGATCTGGCTGTGCCAGGTGGGGGTCTGGATGTATGGAGTCCGGGATCCAACTACACAGGGTTGAGAGTCCAGCCCCGGTTGTCTTGGCTTTGGGGCCTACTTGCTGCTCCATACTCCCAACAGCTGCATGGCTCCCCCAAACACTCACCTGAGCCGGCCCAGTCCTTGGGCCCACACATTACTACCCAACACCCCAACTCCAGCTCTGCCTCCCCTGGACCAGAACAATAGCCTTTCCTGGTCTGGAGCCTGCCCTCCTCCTCTGCCGACCCTCCCACCTCCCCTGACTACAGACAGCTGGGCTCAGAGGGGCTTTGTCTGCCACATGGGGTGGGATGCAGCCCAGTGAGGCCCGTGGCCTGGGTCAGGTGCAGCTGCCAGGCTGGCCTCGGGAAGCTTACAGCCAATTAGACCTCAACAATCTAGCTCCTCAAGACGTGTGCCCCCCACCCACCCACTGCTCTCTGAGGACATGCCTTGTGGTCCCACAGGACTCAGCTCTGTGCAGCTTTCCCAGTGAGCAGTGGCCCCCAGAAGGCCTGTGGGGGGCCCCACTGGTCATCCATGGAGGTGATTGTCACCTGGTGTCCTTTGAGCTATGACTCAGGCCCAGGTGTGTCCGGAACCATTGCCAATTAGACAAAGGCTAGAAGGTGGGGAAAGGTGAGGTGAGAGTAACAGGTGAGCTGAGTCCTGTCTAGGGGGAGAGTGATGGACTCAATGGGATGGAGGAACCCAGGCACTTGGCTGCGAGACTGTGATGGTTAAGATTGTGCGTCAGCTTGGCTGGGCCATGATTCTCAGTGTTTTGGCAGTCGTATAATGTTGTGATCACTTCCCTGTTGAGATGTGATATGTGATCACCCCCACGATGGGATCTGCTGTGAGTAGCCAGTCATTTGAAGGGGAGTTTCCTTGGGCGTGTGGCCTGAATCAAGTGTGGCCTGCATTGAGTACAGGCAGACTTTCAGGCAGGGCTGGGGGCAGGGGCGGGGTGGGGGCGTGGCTTTTGCTCCTGCTGGAACCTGCGGCTGGCTGCTGTTCGTCTGACCTCCGGTTCTTGGGACTTGAGCTACAAGCTTATCTGTGGTCCTACCTGCCAATCTTGGGATTTGTCGATCTTCACAGCCTATGAGCAACAGCCCTGCTCTCTGACCTGCCCATCTTGGGTCCACCGGCCCCTGCGGCTATATGAATCAGGAGAAGCCCCTTTCCTGACCCACAGACTTGGGCCGTTACAGCCTCTAGGGTCGCATGAACCACTTCCTTGATATAAATCTCTCTCTTTATATATATATTTATACGCTTTACCGGTTTTGCTTCTCTGGAGAACCTAGCCTAAGACAGAGACCAACACCAGCATAAAGCTGATCCCTGCAAGACAGCATCATGAGAGGGCTCAGCCTGGTCCCCGGGGTTCTAGGAAGAGGCCAACCCAGCGTCTGGCCTACCTCTGGCCTCTCTGCTGCTCAGCCAGCTGAGAATCACTCTGCATAGGAAGTGAGACTCTTTCTTTAATGGGCTTGAGGCTTTAGTATGATCCTGGGAAGAGCTGAATTAGGCAGAGTCAATGAAAAGAAGTCAGACCCATTTCTTGGTGTGGTGTCAGCCTCCCTCCCATCTTTTAGAAAAAAGTCATGCCCTCAGTCAATATTTAGTTGAAGAATGACCCTCGAGGGTCTCTGGTCAGCCAGACCCATGAAGAGGGGGACAGGCGGGAGGGCAAGGGGGTAAGAGGGAAATTGGGAGGGCGTCACAGAATAGGACCACTGTCTGGAAGGGCAGCCCTGCAGGGTTTGCCCAGCAGGAGACAAGGGGCTGTATGTGAGTGTGTGTATTCATGCATGTGTGTGTGTGTGTGTGTGTGCCCGTGCATGCATGTGCTCATGTCTGTGTGAATGCATGTGTGTGCGTGTGTGTTCGTATATGGCAGGCTGGCTTTCCAGATGGAAGATACACAGTCGCCTCTGTGAGGAGCTCTGGGAGGGGAGAAGGACACGAGATCCTGGCGTCACCCAGAGTTTTTGAGGAGGAAGAGCCCCTCACTCCAGCTCTCTCCAGCCCCTCCTCCCTCTCTCGCATCCACATGTTGGGAGGTCATCTGGTTCTGTGAATTGTCTCCTTAATGCCTTTGAGTTTACTTCTCCTGTCTGAAGCAGGAAGGCGATTAGTAGAGACGGGCTAACATAGCTAAAAGAAAATGAGGGTTCTAGTGTATATGCCAGCACTCAGAAATCAGGAGCCATGCACATCACATTTAAGGATGCTTGCCTAAGGGGGAGCTCAGGAAGATTTTTACTCTCTGCATTCTTTGTTTCAATAAAAGTGTGTGGTTTTCTTTTTATAATACCAAGATCATTTATGCAAGAAGAGAATCAAGCTATAAACCTAAAATAATAAAAAGAAAGAAATTAAACATCCCTGTTTGTTTTTTGCATGTTAATAATTTTGGTGTTCCATCAGATTTTTTTTTGGAGGAGAGGCAGATTCATATCCAGAACACTTTCCCCCTCCCCATATTTTCAGGTTTTTATTCACATATGTTTTTAGCTACCTTAAGCCTGTTCTGTACTGTTTGTAATAGTAAAAATTTGGGCACAACCTCAATATCCAACAATAGAAGACTGGTTAACTAAATTACACTCTATACTGTAATGAATTCATTATTTCAAGCAAAACATATACAGCCATTAAAACAACTTGTATAAATATATATTAACATGAAAAGACATTTATAATGCACTGTTTCATGAACAAAGCAAGTTATGAAACAGAGAGGGTAGTATATGTCTTTTTTTTTTTGCAGACATTTTCTTTATTGAGGTAAAATTCACATAACATAAAATTAATAATTTTAAAGTGTACAATTCAGTAACAATACGTTCACAATGTTGCACAACCATCACCTCTATCTAGTTCCAGAACTTTCTCATCCTCCCAGAGGAGGCCCTGTACCCATTAACAGTCACTCCCCCTCCTCCCAGCCCTGAAAACGTCTAATCTACTTTCTGCCTGTATGGATTTACCTGTTCCGGCTATTTCACATAAGGAGCCCTGGTGGCACAGTGGTTAAATCTCTCAGCTGTGAACCAAAAGGTGGGGGTTCGAACCCATTAGCTGCTCCATGAGAGAAAGACGTGGCAGTCTGTTTCTGTAAAGATCACAATCTTGGAAACCCTATGGGAAAGTTCTACTCTGTCCTATAGCGTCGCTATGGGTTGGAATCAACTGAACAGAAATGGGTTTGGATATTTCATATAAATGGAATCAAATAATATCAAAGAAGAATCTGGTTTCTTTCACTTGGTATAATGGTTTTAAGGTTCATCTACATTGTAGCATGTATCAGAACTTCATTCCTTTTTATAATGTTCCATTGTGTATATTCCACATTTTGTTTATCCCTTTATCCATTGATGGACCCTAGAGTTTCCACCTTTTGGCTATTGTAAATAATATGGCTATAAATATGCATGTACAAGTATTTGTTGGAACACCTGTTTTCAATTCTTTTGGGTATTATCTAGGAGTAAAACCACTAGGTCATATGCTTATTCTATGTTTAACTTTTTTGAAGAAACTCCTAACTGTTCCACAGCGGCTGCACCATTTTACATTCCCACCAGCAATGTAAGAGGGTTCTAATCTCTCCACATCCTCACCAGCACTCAGTTTCTGCTTTGTTTTTTGTTTTTAATGTAGCCATCCTAGTGGGTATAAAGTGGTATCTCATTGTGGTTTTGAGTTGCATTTCCTTAATGACTAATGATGTTGAGCATCTTTTCATGTGCTTATTGGCCACTGATACGTCTTCATCGGAGAAAGGCTTATTCAAGTCCTTTGCCCACTTTTTTTTTTTTCCCTTTGTTCTTGTACTTTAGATGAAGGTTTACAGAACAAATTAGCTACTCATTAAACAGTTAGTATACATATTGTTTTGTAACATTGGTTACAAACCCCGTGACATGTCAACACTCTCCCTTCTTGACCTTGGGTTCCCTATTACCAGCTTTCCTGTCCCCTTCTGCCTTCTAGTCCTTGCCCCTGGGCTGGGGTGCCCTTTTAGTCTCGTTTTGTTTTATGGACCTGTCTCATCTTTGGCTGAAGGGTGAGCCTCAGAAGTGACTTCATTACTGAGCTAAAAGGGTGTCAGGGGTCTGCCTACTTTTTTGGTGGGGGGGTTGCTTGTTTTTTGTTCTTGAGTTGTAGGAGTTCTTTACATATTCTGGATATTAATTCCTTATCAGATATATGATTCAAAAATATTTTCTTCGTTGTGTACGTTTGTTTTCACTTTCTTGACAGTGTCCATGAGTTGATTTTTTTTTTTTTTTTTTGTGGGAAGTATAAGATACATCTGTTCATTAAAGAAGAATCTGAACAAATATTATCCTAAATCAATGGTAGTTATGTCTGGGTAGTTTGGATTGTCACTGTTTTATGTTATTTCTGAATTAAGCATGGCAATGTTCTATGAGTTTACCAAGTTTGCAAATTAGTAAACCAAAAATGGAAATTTCCAGTCATTAGTTCACATTGTTATGACGTTTGTGCATCTTGTAAAGGACCTGAAATGCTGGACATCTAGGGGGTTTCTGAATGCATACCCTAGGGGACGGGGCAGGATGGGGCATGAGGTGGGGATGGGGGTGGGGGTGGGGAGGGGAGGGATGCATCTGAGCCTAGAAGCTCATCCCCTTCCCCACAGCCTGTTTTCCTTGTCTTTCTGTTTTGTTTCTGTCACTTACTCTGGGGCATGGCTTGGGAAAAGGAAACCGAAACCAAATCTGAATGCAGCCTCTGGCTGGCTCCTTTCCCCTGACACTGCCTGGTGACGTGTGCTGTTCAGGCCCATAAAAGGCAGAGGCTGCACGGCTGTGGGAAGTGTGAGCCGAGAGGCGGCAAACTTCTCTGTGACTGCGGAGCACCTAGCACCAGAACCCACAGCCATGGTGAGGCGGGTTTGAAGGTGGGAGGCAGGTGGGCTTGGTACCAGCTCCTTCTCTTCCCCACTGTGGGGCCTCCTGGGGGTGGGCACCTGCTAGGTGCAAGATGCTCTGAGGTGATCAGAGGTTGCTCCCCAGGGTGAGGAGGGATGGGGCTCCTTGTGAAGCCAGGATTTTGGTCTTGAAAGGAGGGTTCCTCCCGGTGGCCAACGCTGGATCCCCTGGGAGTGGAGCATAGCGCAAGGGAGGGAGCACGATGGCAGGGAGGCTGGCCCTCCTTCTAGCAATGCCTTCCCTTCACAGCCCCCACCCTTGGGGTCCCTTGCCTGGTGGGTGGGGACAAGTGAGAGGAGGGCAGGGGTCCCAGGCCCTAGGAGCTTGCCCTGGGCCAGCACCAGGTGCATAGTGGCCCCCAGGACTGGTGCCCAGTCTCTGAGTCACTCAATGCCACACAGGGCTGGGACCTGAAGGTGAAGATGTTGAACGGCCAGGAGATCTCGGTGCCCCTGACAGCCTCCATGCTGTTGTCAGAGCTGAAGCAGCAAGTCTCGAAGAAGTTAGCAGTGCCTGTCTTCCAGCAGCGGCTGGCCCACCCGGACGGCACAGTGCTGCTGGACGGGGTGCCCCTCATCCACCAGAGACTGAGCTCCGGCAACACAGTCCTGCTGATGGTGGAGAGCTGCAAGCCCCTGAACATCCTGGTGCGCAATGATAAGGGCCGAAGCATCGCGTATGATGTCCAGCTGACTGACACCGTGGCCCAGCTTAAGCAGCAAGTGTGCCAGAAGGAGAAGGTGCAGGCTGACCTCTTCTGGCTGACCTTCGAGGGGAGGCCCTTGGAGGACAAGCAGCTACTGGGGGAGTATGGCCTCACCGCTGGGTGCACGGTATACATGAATCTGCGGCTTCGGGGAGGCCAGACAGGCCCCAAGGGGTGCTGAGGTTCCTGCCCTCCTGAGGGACCTGGAGGAGAAGATGCCTGGGGCCCCCACTCCGAGACCTGTGGGCTTCAACTGCCAGTAATAAACATTGATGCAAAGCGAACTGTCGGTCTCCTTCTCTGTCCTTGCCCCTGTGTCCCTCTGTCCCCACCCTTCCCACCGCTGATGGGGAAGGGTAGGAGAGAGTGGGGGGAGGGGACCCAGGGTCTCTGGGGGTGACCAGGCCAGGGTTATCAACAAGCCTCCAGGTTAAAGGACAAGGATTTCACACTCAGAACTGGATGGGCTCAAAGTAGTGAAGAAATGGAAGTAAGACACGTCCCTACACCATTTGGGGAATTAAGTTCTAGAAAAACAAAAGGAGGAAACTTTGTTGGAGTCCATGCAAGTGAGTGTTCTTCAGCCCCGCACAGCTGCCCCCCACCTGGGAAGGTGTGGTGGTGGGTCCCCAGGCCTGCCTGGGTGGTTGTGAGGGAGGCAGGTCCACACCAAGTGGGGTTGGGAGGTCACTTGGCTCTCCAGAACCAACCAGCTTGCATTGTCCCACCTGTACTAGTCTGGGGAAGGGTCTGGGCAGAGGCTTGATCAAGGCTGAGCTGCCCAATGGAGCCAGTACTCATTCGCAGGGCAGCTTCAGAATCATTGTGCAGTGGTGAGGCCATGGCCAGAGGGGAGGGGGCACTGGAGAGGGGGAGCAACCAAGGCCCACACAGATGAGCTTGTCCCAGATTGGGAGGCACTGGAATGGGGAGCTCCCACCGTCCAGGGGATGATCTTGTCCTAGATACGAGGCACTGGAATGGGAGAGCTTCCATGGTCCAAAGGGACAAGCTTGTCCCAGATTGTTGCTCAGTGGTTAATTGCTTGGCTGCTAACTACAACGACAGCAGTTCGAACCCACCAGCTGCTGTGTAGGAGAAAGATGTGGTAGTCTGCCTCCTTAAAGATTTACAGCCTTGGAAACCCTATGGGGCTGTCCTATCGGGTCTCTGTGAATTGGAATTGACTTGACACAATGGGTTTTGTTTTTTTTGGAATGGAGGAGTGCAGTACGATGGATCGCTTTTATATGGCCTTTCTAGCCATGGTCTTGTAACTCCTACCAAATGATTAGGTGAGACTATGCAAATAAGGTGCTTGTGGCCCACCAAGGGGATTGGACAGCTTGCTAATAAGGTGCATGGCACACTTGTGTGGGTGGGACCATGCAAATAAGGTGCATGGAATGCTAACGATGGGATTGGTCAGTTTCATCATACTGCTAGGCTTAAAAGAGAGCTAATCCCAGAGGAGAGGGGTACCTGACTACCATGAAGAAGAAATGAGAGTGGAGTGTCCTTTGGACCCAGGAACCCTGTGCTGAGACCCTCCTAGATGCAAGAGACAGAGAGAGAGAGAGCTTTAACACTGGAGATGATGTGAGATGGCAAGAAGCAGATGCAGAGAAACAGCGGCAGCAGAACCAGGAGACCCACAGGAGACTGTACAGTGGGTTTCCCGGCCTGCGGAGACACAAAGTTGAGTACTTTCGGGCAGGAGGCTTGCTGGCAGAGTGGGGTGCCTCCAGACACTTAGCAGAGCTAGGCTTTCAACCCATGGAATGAGATAGCTGAATGCCTTCGGGCAGGAGGCTTGCTAGCAGACTAGGGTGCCTCTGGGCACTTGGCAGTGGAGCTGAAGAGCTTTGTAATACTTGCTTCAGCAGGGCAGAGCCCAGGCTGAGGGCCTACGAGAGGCCTACCTGTGGGCATGGCTGAGAATAGGCTGTCCTGATCCAAGGACTGTATCCTGAGTCATTTCTGATCTTGATCCTGAATTGTACCCTGTTAGTTTCCTAACAAATTTCTTAACTGTAAGTATGGTTCATGAGTTCTGTGAGACATTGAAGGGAATTACTGAACCCAAAGATGGGAGGGAGAGTACTGAGGGGAGGGTGAGTAGTTGATGTTAGAGATGATGGAGTGGTACAGCAGTTTGGAAAAGTTACACATTTGGGACATCTTTAACCTCCACCTTATAGGAACCAGCTTTGTGCTGATACTTGTAAAAGAAATTATTCATTTAGGGAGCTCCCATGGTTCAGGGGATGAGCTTGTCCAAGATTGGAGGACACTAGAATGGGGAGTTTCCACGTTCTATGGGGACAAGCTTGTCCAAGATTGGGGAGCACTGGAATGGGGAGCTCTCATGGTCCAGTGGAATGAGCTTGTCCCAGATAGGGGGCACCTGAAACACCCCTCCTGTGATCATTAAGGTTGTGTGTCAACTTGGTTGGGCCATGATTCTCAGTGGTTTGGCAGTTATGATGTAGTTTGGCAGTCATATAATAGTATCAACTCCATGATGGGATCTGCTGTGAGCAGCCAATCAGTTGATTGACTCTCCTTTGTAGATGATTTTTCTTTTATCCTTAGCCGCTCTTAAAATTCTCTCTTTATCTTTGGTTTTGGTAAAGTTTGATTATAATATGTCTTGGTGACTTTCTTTTGGGATCTACCTTATGTGGGGTTCGATGAGCATCTTGGATCGATATCTTCTCATCTTTCATGATATCAGGGAAGTTTTCCTGTCAACAAATCTTTGACAATTTTCTCTGTATTTTCTGTTATCCCCCCTATTCTGGTACTCCAGTCGCTCATAGGTTATTTCTCTTGATAGAGTCCCACATGACTCTTAGAGTTTCTTCATTCTTTTTAATTCTTTTATCTGATTTTTCCTCAAATAAGTTGGCATCAAGAGCTTTATCTTCAATGTCACTAATTCTAACTTCTACTGCCTCAATTCTGCTCCTATGACTTTCTATTGAGTTGTC